TGAATTTTGTTGATTCCCTTGTGGTCTAGCAAATCCTGTAAGATAAGGGTACATGTGACTTAACAGTGGTTTGATGTATCAGGATTGATATGTATATGTTTGTTAAGTAGTGAAATGGCGAATTTTGTTTTAATGTTATTGGCATGGGCATGTTCATCTCTTTCTAGCATTTGTATGAATGTATGAATGAATGATTGGATGTATGTAAAATATGTGATGTGTAAGTTTCCTTTTATATGTTGCTAATGTTTATCAATTTCTTTTTATATATAAAACTTTCTTACAGGAAAGCGCTTTTCATAAAAAGATAATTAAATTCTTGAATTTTGAGTGTATACATATATATTTTACACACACACACATACATACATACATACATACATACATACATACATACATACATACATACATACATACATACATACATACACACACATACATACATACATACATACATACATACATACATACATACATACATACATACATACATACATACATACATACATGCATGCATGCATGCATGCATGCATGCATGCACACATGCATACACATATGCATACACTTGTATTGGCATGAAATTGCTCCATTGTTTTGGGCTGCCTGCCTGCGACTTAGAACCTCCAGTGCAGGAGGAGGGTAGTTCAGTGTCTGTGGATGACCTCAATGAGCAAGCAGAGGGAGAATAGTGTGTAGGTTACTTATTAAGGTTGCTGCTCATTACTGTAATTTGTCAAGTGTTCATTTGTTAAGTTACATTTGTTAAGTTAGATGTGTGTGCCAGACTAGAGTTGAGATGGAATGTAGTACAATGGTTCTGTAGGTTGCAAAATAGTTTAAGGATGAAATATGTTGGCAAGGAAAATTGCCAAATTGTTTTTGTAAAGGTATTAATTTTCTGTGGATGTTTCATGTGTTTTTGTCCATGCATATTTTATTATACATGAATTGCCTGTTTTACCAGGAATTATTATTTAACTTATTAGAATTATTATTATTATTTATTTATTATTATTATTTTTTATAATTTGAATTTTACTTTGTAAATAAGAAGAGATAGAATACAATACTAATGTTTTTCTTCATTTGTTTTCCACAGGCGACGAAAGAGTTTGTAGAGCAAGTTAATGAGCTGCGACGGTCTCGGAACGTTGGGCCTCTGTCATGGAATACAGCTGTCAAGTTTCTTATGGCAAGGAAATTTGATGTTAGCAGGTAAGGACAACTTCATTTTAGGTATTTACAAGTTTTTTAAATCAAAAGTGTGTGTGTGGGATCAGAGAACACCTTTTTTCAGTATTATTTTTTGTACCATATTAGATTTAAATGGAGCTAATTTGCTCTACACATGTTTTGCATCAGCTGACACTGACCATTCTGGGTCAGCTGGAAGGCGAGACCAAAGTAGTTTACTAGACTAAAGCTGGAGCTGCTGTCATTGAATAGCATCAAAGTGTTTGGAAAAAAAAATTATTATATGCTAGTGCTAGCACTAGGTGTAAACTAAGGTCTTATATACTTCTGAGATATTTATCAGATACAAATGTAGAAATGGCATTCACTTCCATAGATATAAGTAAAGTTGTAGCCAGGGCAAGTCTTGGAAATATGCTTCAATGTGGCTACATATATTTTCTAAATTCAAGCCAAAGATCCACCCTGACTGAAGTCCTAGCTGGTCCTTCACCTGTCCTCAGCCACCAGGATTAGGGAGTTCTCATTGATATGATTAGAGGATGCAGCAAGGAGAGGGTGTAACATTGTTTTGTGTTGCATCTGATCTTCATGTTTTCTGATGTTGTTCTCATTTGAGATGCCGGGAGACCTAGGGAAACTTTGTAGACTAATGTATGATGAAAGGGGAGTTAGGTTTGTACTGTTATTTGGGAATGTCTTAAAGTAGTCACAGTTCTAAATAAAGCGACCCTGTTAATCTTTTAATAAATTTTACTCAGATTTACCACAGTCCTCTTAAACTTCTTGGACTTTACTGTGACCTTTTCAAGTTGCATTTTCATCTAAGATGTCTCTGCCCATTGACACATAGCAGTGCTTTCATCTTTTCCATGTGTGATTTTTTTACCATTTTACCAAGTGAATCTGTATTGTAATCTCATCAGGATGAAATTTTTTCTGGACTTGGTGTGTCGTGTTAAGAAATGAATGTGTTATCATGTGCGGTCTCTGTAGGCTTATTCATATGACAGTTGGCTACCCACAGCCTTGAAGTGCATTTTAAGGTTGTAGTAAGGTCAAGCCATTGAAGTTCATTACGTGAATAAGGGCAGTGGATAAGAAGATTGCCAGCAGGGGAGGTTATTGTATTAGAGCAGTAGCCATACTGTAGTTGGATCAGTTACAGCTCATTAGGAGCTTGGTCACTGTAGTTAAATATATGTTGTATGTATATGTGTGTGCATGCTTGTCCGTGTATGTGTGGGCGTGCATTTATATTTGTTTCTTTGCTTGTTTGTTTCTTTGTTTCTTTGACATATATTGTATCACTGGTATCAGTGCATTTTTATGTTTAGTTTAGTTATTGCTGTTATTTGTAATTGATATTAGAATTAGTTTAATATAATAATTTACACTAATTGTGATCTATCTCTTCCAGAGCTGTGAGTTTATACGAGCAACACGAAATAACCAGACACAGGGAAGGCCTCACCCATCTCAATCCCTCCTCAGATCCACTTCGGACTGAGCTTACCACAGGGAAATTTACCATCCTAGTAAGTATTTGGTCTGACCTGGTCACAAAGTCAGGCATAATCTCTTGGGAAAAGGAACTCTGTTTTGTGGGAATGGTTATTAGGGGGGGGAGGCTCATGGTAAAAATAGGTACCATTAAGTGGAAAAAATATTCAGAAGTAAACTGTGATGCAAAGAGAGCAAGACTGACAGGTGCTCTATTGGTTTCTAATATTCCTTTGGGAATTTGAATTCCATTAATCACTTATGATATTTCAGATTTATAAAGGAAAAAATGCTCAACTATTTTTTCAGTGAATGTTTTGAAATGTTTTGTTTGGTAAAAGCATTCAGCAATAATTATAGTAATAAAATCAAGTAATTGTAACATGACTTGTAGAGCTTTAACATTTCGGCTGCATGTTTACTCTTAGTAATAAAAGTAATAATAATCTGAGCTTTTGATGAAAATGTAAAGGAATTATAGAAACAACAACAACAACAAAATTATAATGATGAAAAATAGCAGTGGCATTCAGATGACATTTCTGTGAGGCAGTACATTGTCTGCACTTTGTCATTATACATTTCATATTTGTCTAGATTTCCATGAATGTCCTCACTCTCAGCAGCTTCTATTTTATTTCACAATTTGCTCAGAGTTTGTGATCATATTCTCATGGGAAAGGGGAGGTCAAGAGATGTGGTGTTTCCATTACTTATAAGTGGGCAAAGAGACGCCAAGTGACTGATAAAGGTGTTTGTTTACATACTGTACAATCAAGAAAGGAAAATTGTTGTTTATGGCAGGAGAGAAACTATATTTATTTGATGATATGCGCTAATCTTACTCTGTGTCTTATCTTCATGTGATGGTAGGGAGGCCTAAGGATTAAATCAGTTTAGAAAAAAAACAAAATCCTCAATTAGAAAGGGGTCATGAAGGATTGAGTGTTTATAGCATACATTTTATATATGCTGGGCTTTCAAGATGCGCATGGTTGAGAGACAGGATGTAAACAGTGCCTTCTAAGTCCTTACTAGTTTTTTAAATTTTCTTGGTGTGGTTCTTCGATGCTTGATCTTTTCCTTTGCACAGTGTAAGCATTTTTATTTTTTTGTTTTTGTCAGCATTGCAAAACATTGTTGCCTAAAAGGAAAGCCTTTACCCTGCTACAAGGTTTTTCAAGGCCCAGGCATAGTGGCATCATGATGTGATTTAACAAAAATTAGTGAGCAATGTCAGAGACAAAGAAAGACTAGAGATATACATGTTCTGTGAGGAAGGTTCCCTGCCTTATCACTTCATTGTAGCAGGTTTGAGATTTGGCTTTTTTGAGAATGTCCATCTGGCAAACATTTATGTGTGCATCAATATATGTTCACTAAAGATTATGAAATATTGCTTTGTATGTGATGTTTCTCCCCATAATGATTAAATAGTTATTTTTATATATTAAGAGTAAGTTTTGTGGCTTTTACATTCTCCTCAATAAAATATTATCTCAATTTTGAATTTACAAATTCATTTTGACTACCTGCTCTATAGTGGTGAATATATTCACTGTTTTAATTGCTTAATCTGCCCTCTTGCAGCCGTGCCGAGACACTTCTGGGGCAGCCATTGCAGTTTTTACCGCCCGGCTTCATGACCCTCGTGCCACCACCCAGCAAACAACGCTGCAGGGAGTTGTCTACCAGTTAGACGCTGCTTTAGAGTCAAGAGAGACCCAACGATGCGGGCTGATTTTCATCTATGATATGAGCGAGTCTGCATACCAAAATTTTGACTATCAGTTGTCACAAAAAATTCTTACTTTATTGAAGGTAATATATGAGGTGAAATTCTTTGATAGTGTAGAATAGTTTATTTTTAAATAAATTATCATTTGATTTGTACTAAATTTACTGTCATTACAATTGGTAATTACAGTTTACAAGTATAACAGTTGTTACTTTAATTGTAAGGATGGTAATTATAATTCACTTATATTCAACATTATTATTATCATTAATGTTTTGTTTTTTTTCATTGTAGGGCGGATATCCAGCACGTTTGAAAAAGGTGCTGATTGTAACTGCGCCATTGTGGTTCAAGGCGCCTTTCAAAGTTCTGCGTTTGTTTGTGCGAGAGAAGTTGCGTGACCGTGTCTACACTGTCTCTCTTTCTGAGGTATGTGTGCAGATTGAGGATCTGTTATTTATGAAAATACTGAGAAAATTGTGTATCTTTGTCCATGGATTTTTATCATTACTTTTATGAATAGTATCTTTTTTTCATTCTTCCTTCTTTTATAAATATTTTAGAGATACTTTCATTAATTTTTATGAACTAACTCCATTTTCCTCATAGATTTTTGAAAATCAATATGTTAACATCGTTCTTCTTTCTTCCAGCTTGTAAATCATATACCTGGGGATTGTCTGCCAGTAGAACTGGGAGGGAACCTCATCATTGACCACAACGCGTGGTTGTTACGGTGCCTTGCCTCCATGCCCAACAGGCACCCGTCCCTCTTGTGTGAGTCTGAACTCCCTCTGCCGCCCCAGTCAGCCCTCTGTTCTCCAGGCTCCCAAAAGCATTCTACCATGGTACCTACAGGGGACCACGATCCTAATCTGTCATCGCAAGATCAGGTATAGAATGTGTAAAAGGACAAACTTGAGTTGCTGATTTATTTGGTTAAGTTGGCATTGATTGTAATGTGAGACAGAAAGGGGTGGATAGATAATTTTTTTATTATTACTAATGTGTATATTTTGATTGAATTAAATTGATTAAAGCTTCTCCCTTGTAACAGCTATGTCCAGACTTCAGTGATGATGACCGGAGTTCTTGTGAGAAGAGCTTCTCCCATGATGAGGATGACTTAGAAGGAGAAGCTGATGATCTAGACACAGAAGGAAGACTATCTAGTCTAACGACTGTGGAAGAGAAGACAGTGAGTGAAGATGGGAAGCAAAAGGAAGATGAAAATGAGCATAGCTCAAGTTTAAAGGGAGAATGCTCCCCAGAGCCAGATAGACAGAATACTGTACATCTTAATGGACATGTCATGCACGACAAGGAACGACTCAGTGGTAAGAAATATATTTTATAGCAATACTTGAATTTATGAATTCTTTGAAATATAAATGCATATATGTAGTAGTTCTTTTTCCCTAAAGTGCATGAAATGAAAGTATTACATCAAATCAGTGTAGCAATGGTAAAAGATAACAGTTCCCGTATAGTTCCTGACAGTTCCTGATAGTTCCCTATAAACCATTTTGTCAGATTGGAGAAAAGAACAATCCCATTATTTTGAGATTATATCCTGTTCACAAAACTTTTAAGTAGAATATCAATATTTTTTATATATTAAATGAAATACCTTGCTGAGTCCTCTTGGTTTATAGTGCTTTACTTTTCCCATTGGTGATTTTTTGGAATGTTGTTCTCTAAATTAGAATGAAAATTGATTTTGGACAATTTTGAAAACAGCAAGGCTTGTCTAATAAACTTTTCAATTTGTAGGCAGGGTTTCTCCTCTTGCTCCACCAAGCAGTGGAAGCAGTGGATTTAGCGACGATGACAGCCTTCACTATGATGACGGGCGGGGGCTATCCTTGGAGGAGTTTGTGCGTCACTTGAGAGACAAGGGACGGCAAGGGCTCTACCACGACTATACACAGATAAAGAGTCGACCCCCAGATGGAACTTTTGAGAATTCCAGGTAAGTAATGAGGAAGACCTTTGTTAGAGTGCATCAGTTTCTCATGATTGTCATGATTATTATTGTTATTGATGTTAGTCTTAGTTACAATTGCAGGAGCAGCAGTAGCAGCACCAAGTATCAACTTTTTTTTGCATAGTGCAAATATTTGCAAACATTGACCAAAAAAATCTTCCTTCCGCAGGAAAAGATGGAACCAGATTAAAAATAGATACACAGACGTTCTATGTTTTGATCACTCACGGGTAGTTCTGAGTGCAGAGGATGAAGAGGGACACACTGACTACATTAATGCTAACTATGTTGATGGTTACAAGCAGAAGAATGCATTCATCTCTACACAAGGTAATTGTTAGAAATACTTGTAAAATCTATAGGCTGAAAATCACTAGCTAATTTATTATCCAGCTGTATGGTGGTTTATGACCATAGACGAGCCAGCATTTGACCTTTTAAGTCTCACCCTTTGAAAGATAGGTATCTGATATCAAATGTTTTATTTCATTTGTCATGTGACTGGTGTCAGAGATGCTGGGTAGACTGGCAGTGTGAAAAGCTTTTAAAAACTATGCCCCCCCCCCCTTCCAGGTCCTTTACCTGGAACGTTTGGAGACTTCTGGCGAATGATCTGGGAGCAAAGAGTTTGTGTTATTGTGATGACAACCAGAGCAGTAGAACGAGGAAGAACCAAGTGCGGGCAATACTGGCCAGTTGAACAAGATGGTCAGGTGTCACATTCACATTTTACTATCAAGAACACCAATGTCTATCAGTTCAGGGATTACACTGTGTCTGCTCTTACGATTGTAGATAATAAGGTATGTGTAATTATTTTCTTTTTTCACAATGGCATTATTTGCATAACATACTATTTGTTCATTGATTGATATTGAAAGATGCAAAAATTAAGAAGGAGAAATTCCAGGTATGAAGCAGGTGACAAATCTTTTCATTTTCAATGTTCTAGAGTGGTGATGAGAGGAAGGTAGAACATATGCAGTTCACTTCCTGGCCAGACTATGGTGTCCCAGACTCAGCAATGGCCATGCTAGATTTCTTAGCCCATGTTCGGGAAGCGCAAGCTCGCCTGACGACAAGCCTTGGAGATAAATGGACCGGGCATCCCCTGGGACCTCCCATTGTAGTTCACTGTTCAGCTGGCATTGGTAGAACAGGTATGTTGCTGAGTATTATGTTGACAGAAGATCTTGGATATTTATATTACGTGTAATTGTCTTCTTTTTTCTCACTCCCTCCAGTTGCAATATCATGAGGATTTTAGATTAGGCTGTTATTAATTTCTCTACTGGTTTTGACCTCTGTTCTTGGTCTATTGTAGACAGTGGTTACTATCTACTTTAGCTTTTGACCTTTGTTGAATAATTAATTTGCATTTTATTTTCTAACAGGAACCTTCTGCACCCTTGATATATGCATCCGCCGTTTAGAGGAAGTGGGAACAATAGAGGTGAAGGGAACGGTGGAGAAAATCCGTTCCCAGAGGGCCTACTCCATCCAGATGCCAGACCAGTATGTGTTCTGCCACCTGGCTCTCTTGGAGTATGCCTTACACAACGGCAAATTAGTGGAAGTTGACCTCACTGGTTTTGAGGAAGATGGCTCTGAATCCGACTAATTTAGACTTCTACTATTGCATAAGTGAAGGACAATAATAACTTGTTAGCCTTATCTGTATTGAAGTTTTTCAAGGCCACAGAAATATCACTTTTAAAAAAGAAAGGTGGGACCATATGGCTAAATGACTACATATGTATCTGGTTGTTTGGTGCAAGTGTCAATAAGTGAGTGTTGTATACCAGACAAGCACGGGGAGAAACTCGTCTCGTGTTCGAAGAAGTAACAGTGAATAAGGCATGGTGGTGTGTGTTTGCAGAATGGAAACTGGACTGTAACTTGCCAGACAACCAGAAGCACGTTACCTCTTTGATAGCCACTAGGTGCTCCTGAGTGCTTTTGTTTGAGTGATTGTTATTGATGTAAATCCGAAGTCTTGAGTTTTGACATTCACTGTTTGATGTACAGAAAAGAAAAAGAAAAACTTTTCATTATTTATTTTATTGGGATTATTGTCATTATTATTGTGATTGTTATTTGATCCTTATTTCTTTCTTTTTCATAAGCCTCCTCTCCTTTTGGGGGAAGGTGCACATATCATATTATATAAATACAACTTTCATACATGACTCATGAAGTTCACAGTTTGATGATTCTTATGCATCATTATTGCTGATATTTATTGTTATTATTATTATTATTATTATTATTATTATTATTATTATTATTATTATTATTACTATTACTATTAATATCATTTTTATCATTATTATTATTATTATTATTATTGCCATCATCATCACTATTACTATTACTATTTCTTTTACTGTTACTATTAAGATTATCATTATTGTTATTATGGATTTTTTTTTATCATTATTAATATTATCATTATTACTATTACCATCATTATCAGTGTTATTATTATGATTTATATTATTACTACTAGTACTTTTACTATTATTGATAATTATCATCATTATTGTTTTACTTAATTGAAGTACTTTCCAATGTTCATGGTGTCTGAAGTGCTGACATGTATGAGAGAGTGAGAAGTAATGGAAACACAAAATATGTATTATCATTGGTTACACATCAAAATATTAAGGGACGTAATTCATGTTATCATTCCATTAGGAGGCGGGTAAGCTTATCAGGCCACAAATAGAATATAAATTAGTCAAATATGCATTTGCAGTGCATTGGATTTATGTACAAATATTTGAATATGTAGGTGCCAATTCCTGGGAAACGGTCGTAATCAAAATTACTTAAGATGTGAGAAATGAAACGGAAGGATGATAATGCAGGTAAAGTATGATGAAAGGAAAAATAAATAAGATTAGAAATGCATTTACAGCTATTATTGTTATTATTTTATTTATTTATTATTATTGTTATCATTATTATTATTATTATTATGATTATGATTATTAGTATGATTATTAGTATGATTATAATTCTTACTGTTCATATTTTTAAAAACTGTAATTATTTTTATTGTTATTATGATTAGTAGTATTATCATTGCTGTTGCTTTTCCCAAAATGACATACCATGGAAGGAGTTGGCATGACTGCCTTTTGAGATCTTTTGTCTCTTTTTTGATATTTCTTATTGTATAAGGAGGGAGTCTGTTCTTCAAAAAGATACTGCAGTTATGAGGAAAAGTTTCTGGTTGATAGTTTAACCATCATTTTTTTTCCTTTCATGTCTCGGTGAATTTATTTGGAAAAATTCTATTTCGAATATGTAATACCCTTGATGGAAGAACATGAATAAGCCAATGGGACACACTTATATTGTAGTAAAATATATGTACTTATATATCATACATACATACATACATATATATATATATATATATATATATATATATATATATATATATATATATATATATATATATATATTATATATATTATATATGTGTGTGTGCGTACATACAAATGCTGAAATTAGTGAATGCAGGATGTACAATGATTTTTATTTAGAACAATGGTCTCTGGCAACTCTTTTTCAATGCTTGTTTTCCTATATCACTTCCAGATTTTTATTTTTTTATTTTTTATTTATTATTTATTTTTTTGTTGTTGATTATGGAAAGACTTTGTGATAATCTCCTACTGACTAATGACTAAGGCATGGGAAAGAAACATCAGATAGATCACAATGAGCTCAAATTTGCAAAGATAGGAATCTTGAAACAATGAGGGAGACCTAGTATTAATGTATGATTTTGCTATGATTGATTGCCATTCTATTGTTGATATGTCACTGAACAGGAATAAGTTATTTATTTATTTATTTTTTATTATTATTATTTTTAAAGGTATTTCCTGATATTATGAAATGCCATATGAAAATTGTGATGCCTAGTTATGTTTTTTATGTATTGGTAATTCAGTGAGACCTTAGTATTTTTAAATTCTATTGAGTTACCAGAAGTCTTTTCCTTTATAAAATTTTGTCTGTTGTGCAATCACTTATTTGGCTTGATTAACTTAAACATACACTTACACATATATATACACATACATACAGACATACACATATGTATGAATATGTATGTATGGTTGGATATGTTTGTTTACATTAGTAAATTTATCGGGTGTGTGTGTGTGATTTGTCAATCGTTCTTATGCATAATGATAGTCATGACAGTCACAACTAAGCGCTACTGGTATTTCTAAATTCATGCTCATTTACAGGTAAGCAGGTAATCAACTGATCCTTTTCTTTCTTTCCTTTTCTTTTTCAATTGACAGACGCTGCTTAGTTGATTAGTCTTCACCTTCTCATGCTGTTTTGAAAGTAGTGGTAAGAATGTTTTATTTCTCATTAATTTTTTGTTTCATTCTTTAATAAAAATAAAGTGTTTTTTTAAGATCTGGAAATTGGTGATCATATATGTAGGTCTTCTTGATGAAACTGGCTCTGATGAATGGTACAGCTTTTAGGTTTGTTGCATATTAAATATTTGTTTTTGTACTGTAATTGGTACAAAGACTTCGACAGTACGTGTTCTTAAACTTCACATTTAATTAAGAAAAGAAAACAGAAAAGTAATCATACATTGTAACCTTCCATCTCAGGGTGAATTCCCCATGTCTTTTCACTCGCAGACTTTGTTGTCATTCTTTATCTTGTAATTTAGTTTTGTATGACTAATGATTGCTCTTTTTGCTACTCAGCATGTACAGTACTTTTATCAAAACTAGAAATATAAAAGTTATTTTTTCTAAAGATAAAAGGATTTTTTCTGATCACCAGTAGGAATAGACTGTGTGAAGAAAAGGATTGAACCTCGCTCACTCTTTCTCTAACATATGAGATGTTAATTTATAAATAATGGTTGAATGGATAATGATGATAATTATTGCATTCGGCTGAGAAGGGGAAGAGAAACCGGTCAATAAAATGCATAAGCTCTTTCCACGTGTAACTGATAATTGCTGATCTGAGATGTTTATTCAGTGTCTGTCACAGAAAACTTAGGAGGAGCAGATTTTAGTGTTTGTATACTGCACTTGTCAGACATGTTTCGGTTCTATTTTGATCGTCATCATCACTAGTGTTGTTATTGTTTTATTATTTTTTATTATGATAATTGATGATAATGTTATTTTATTGTGGTTTTTGATATTGTGATTATCATTCTAATCGTAATTTGAGTATTACTATAGTGATCATTGTAATTATCTGTTATTATTGTTATTATTATTATTATTATTATTATTATTATTATTATTATCATCATCATTAATTACTGCTTATTAATAATTATTTGGTATTTATTATTTTTATCATTCACTACTACAACAGCTATTATTTAAAACCATTAATAAAAGATAATTTTCATAATTCTTGCAACAGCAGTTATCTTAATTTTCAAATACAGCGGTGTTTTACAGCCTCATGTGATCATTTTTGAGTATGTAATAACAAATAAAACAGCATTATGAGGGTATAATATGTAAGTGTAAATTGTGTACATTGATAATGCTACAAATATAGTTGTTGTTTGTAAGCTATTCTTGTTAATAGTGTATATACTTTAAACATACCTTGTAAATCTTCTATACAAATAGGGATTCCTTTTTGTGAGTTTGACTTCAAGCATTTGGGTACATGTTGAGGGTATTTATGTGAGATACAACCTATGATATTCAGGATTTGGTCACTTGTTCTCGCATTGGCCTTGTGAGGGTCAGTGGTATCAAGATCCCAAGGGAGGAAATGCAGTTGATATTGGTTAGGAATGGCAACCCCATTTTAGTTTTGATAAATATAATTTAATTTTTATGGATGTTTTTGGCTTTTCAGTATTTAAAAGTGATAACTGATACACTACCCAGGTTTTGAAGACTTATTTGGTGTTTTTTATGTAATGTTTTTTTAGTAAATTGTTTGTGGCTTTACTTTTTTCATTCTTTGAATCTGGATAATGAACTTTATTTTTAGGCGATGAAAGCGAACGCCTTGTTTTTATTTTCAGATTTACACTTTCTTAAACTTCAGTTGTAGTAAACATAAGGTACAAAACTATTAGGTAAATATTATTGTGGCCTAAGAAAAAATCAGAATAATTGTCTATAGCCAATATTTATTTCTCCTGCAATGAGAATACATACGTTGTACGACCAAGATTTCCGACTGAGTGTGGGGTATACCATGGAATGCATCGCACAACTCAAGTGTATGAGTGTCAGGTGTGACACATCACCAAAGATGTAACTTTTTATAATACTTTTGTACATACTAGTCAAATATCTAAATAAAATCTTCTTTCTAAATTTTGTTGTTTGACCCTTCAAATGTTGTTCAGTTAGAATGTTGAAGTATCTAAAAGAGGAAATTTGATTATTGTAGTACAGATGGTTTATATTTGAAAATGATATTGCCTGCTTCTGCACTAAAATACATGGAAGAAAGTCTAGCACCTGCTGATCTTGGTAACATGTAATTATCCATTTTATTATTCATTGTGTGATGATCAATAACTAGAAGAGAAAGATCATGCTATTTACTGAGACACTGACCTTGTCTTGTACTTGTTTTGTTATACCCAATATACATTTGAAGCTAAGGCTGTCATATCAATGCTTTTATTGATATTTCACACTCTGACTTCAGTAATACAAGTGCGAAAAACAAGGATTGAAACAAGAAATAAGAGGCCCACCATCATTCAACGAGAAGACAAAAGTGATACACATTGAATACCTTCCCTCCCCCCCTTCACTATATTTTCCTTTTTTTTTTCCTTATCCGTTTCTTTTACTTTCACTTTCTCGTTTCTTTTACTTCCTCTTTCTCCGTCTTCATATTCTCACTCGGTCTTTGTATATGTGCGTACGAATGTTGCCGTATGTGCATGACTGTGTGTACACACATGATTTCAAATGAGTATAAAAAATGTAACATCATGAGAATTCTCCTGGACTTGATTTTTTTTATGTGACTGCATTA